AAGTTTCCTAAGTTAGGTCGAATAATATTGAGGTGTGCACGAACTGCGAGAGCTGCTACGAAAGGTATACGTTAAAAACATGGACAGCAATTGTAGAATTAAATTTGAAATATACTTTTTTTTCATAATTTACGTTTATATACACGGGTGATAAGATTTAGCAAAAATATACCTATTCCGCGAGTTAGAAATGCGGGAGCGAGATGATACCGTAGACCGGCGACGTGGGAACGCGGTACCACAGCATGGGAGTGCGGTACCGGCTCGGTCGCGCAGACCGGGGGTGCGGAACCGAGTCGGTCCCGCACAACAGCTGTGCACGTTGCTGTAGCCTGCGGGACCGGCTGCCGGCCCGGCCGGTCTCAGGACCGAAGCGGTCCCGCGGTACCAAGCTGCGGCACCGAGCCGGTCCCGTGGGGCTCCGGTGCCGCTTTCCAAATGCGCGGGATCGCAATCTCTCCGCATCTCTGTTGTGCGGGACCGCACCGAAAGTTATTTTATCCGCCGAAAGTTATTTTGTCCCCGGGCTCTAGCTCCATGTGACATGTTGAGGCACAAACAAAGGAGAGAGAGATTCTCTTCTCTAGTCCCAGCTTTTTTCACGTGTTGCCCGCCGAAAGCTTGTTGTCGTCTGGTTAGAGAGACTACTCGTCGAGTGCCTATAAAAGGAATATTACGAAACGAAAAAGGCAGACTCAAGTATAGTATATAACTCATATTCGTAGAGTTTATCATTAGTGTAAGCTTCAATAGGTTAGTGTGCTCGGCAAATTTCACAGGCCCTACTTCTGGTATGAACTGAGTACGCGATGATTCATGGTGCGTATTAGAGGCTTACCATAAGATAATGTCGTGAATTCGCCAAGCGTTCAAACCCACTGATGTGTTATGTAAAGAAAAATATTTGTAAGTATTCATGAAGAAAAGGCAGGTAAATATTTCGAATTTATTTATTTAGAAATTTAGCCGACACATTAGAAAGTTTTAATACACAATATTACATATTAGTTCGAATGAGCAAAATATAAAATCGTTCTACTCATTAGCCTCATCATCGAAATTTCTTGATGTCGTAGTGCCTTTTTTCTTTCCCTTTCTTCTAGCACCAGCTGAAGGTCTGCATCCTAACAACGATAATCTTTCGGGTGAATGTCGCTCGCGGACAGACCTATATATGTGCCACCTCAACACCGCTGAAATTAATGTACCCGTAGTCTTGGGTCGGTTGAGTTATTGGAGGCGGTTCATCAAGCTGCGATGGTCCTATCTCGTGTTGTGCTGTTGACGACCCCCCACCGTAGCTACATGGTTCTCCGTAGGACAGCGTGCTGCCGGCATATCCCATCATTTGGTCGGCAGTGTACATTCCTACAAAACATTGAATCCAAAGTTGTAAAGTACACACATTCTGGAACTAAAATATTTTGTACTAAATTATAATTTGTACCTGTTATTTGTGGTTGCATGATAGGTGGTTGACTGAACAACCAATCTACTTGGCCTAACATCTCCAAAAAGCTTGGTCCTTGTGGTTGTACGTTTTCATTTATGGACATTTGGTACATCCCCCTACAGGTGCAGCGCTAATTTAATATCGCAATATAAAGATCCTCAAAATTGAAAGACATCATGTACGAACCAGTGTTGTATGTGGAAGCTCCATGCCACTGATCGTTCATACCCGTTGGAAACATGGGCATGTTATCTTGAGGTACAGCTGCAAAAATAAGCAAATATGTTTGTGACTCGGTAAATTACAAAATGATGAACATTAACATGCGTGTTTATTGAACTACTGGTAAACGTTGTGTGCCCTGCACGGAATTGTGAGCTTCCATCTTCTGTACGCATCGGAGGAACCATTTGGCTAGATCCTGCAAACCGCGCAAACCCTCCCTGCCATTCACTAGTGGTACTTGCATGCAGAATAAAAGGGATCACTGTTGTACTACCTGCAATAATCTATAGGTGAATATTGAATTCAAAAATAGCACCAGTTTTGTTCGGAAAACAAAAGGCAAAACCACCACCTAATTTTGGTATATTCCAAAAATTAGTCCATAAAAATAGTGCGCATTGTACTTTTAAGTCCCTAAATTGAATTAGCATTGGGTACAACAATTAATTCTATAAGTTAGGCCACTTGTACTTAAAAAAACTGTGCATGAAAAAGAGCTAAATTTTTGGACGATTTTCATAATAATACGTAGAGCTTTTGGTTTAATTTAGAGAAAGGTTACCATAACTATAATGATTAAAAATAATTCGTGCACCTAATATAATTCATATGTTTTCATATACATAGCTTATAGCAGGTTGATTAGAGTCGTGCGAATGCTAGACTATATACAGTAGTACTAGATGAGAAGTTAACAAGTCATCCGTGTAAAAATATTTTGTGAAACAGTTTCTACTTGGTATCAATGTTAACCCTTGATGCCACTGTGATCCACCTGTTGTAAAAGGTTTATTGCAGTTGCATGAACATGTGTTGTTATCCTCGGTTCCCAATGTTACCTCATGAGTTATAATGCCAATTGAAGACCCAAATCCACCCTTTGCTCGTTGCCTGTTATAAGTATAAAAAACAAATGAAAAACAAATCAAATCCCTCCATCACTGTTGGGCTGATTTCGGCCCATTTCCTACACTCATCCGCTGGTGGGCTGAAAACAAAATGGGCTAAAATCACCAAAGACTAGAGTCCAATAGGTGGGCTGATTTTATCCACTTTCCTACACCCTCCTCCCTACACCCTCCTCCTCAAATGGGCTGAAATCAGCCCAATACTAATTGAGGTATTTTCTCTGCTTTTATGTTTTCAATAATTTCTGAAATTATTATTACACTTTAAAAATTATCAATATAGCTCCAAAAATTTCAAGAAAATTCCATAGGGTATTTTAGTTCATGGAGAATTTCAAAAAATTAACTCGCACCATGATTTCTTAAGAAAATTTTATTCCCTTGTTAATTTCATTAGTTTAATTGATTTGCACATTTAATGAATCCCTTAATCGACTTTTAATTTGGTATTTCAAAGGTTAAGCAAAAATTAAAATATTATTTTAATATATGTTCGTTGGTGTAGTATCCAAATGTAACAAATGGTTCACGGATACATGTTAATGTATTCAATATTTTTACATATAATTTTCCGTGCGACATAGCTCTAAATACTATTCAAATTTATCCACGTATTATGTACAATAAAACATAATACTAAATTAATTTTGCTAGAGATGACAGCAAATTTAAAAACATAATAGTAATTACCAAATTTAAACACATAAAAATATAAACATGCTTACCTCTATGTCTCCTATTTATTTCTCGTCCTTCTCCGAACTTGTAATTTCTAAATTTAATGCACCACGTTCACTCTTATAACCTTGAAAATAATGAAGATATGTTAATAATAAATCTTGCAAAATCCATACTATTTACAACAATTCCAACCGTCATGCAAATTACCTCTAAATTTTGTTCTATCATTTGTCTTATTCACTGTCAAATGGTACTTTGAACTAAAAAAATTCTTACCACATTCAATTATTCGCGTGGCGCGGCTCTAATTACTAGTTAAATTTCCCCCCTTATAATGTACCCTAAAACATAATACTAAAACCATTCTATCTTCATACTAAATTAATATATTTTTTACTCATTTCTCTATCTCATTCAGATATCGTACACACAACTAAAGAAATTTCGAAATATATACATTTCTCCCCATGGCCTAACACAATAAAAAAATTTATGCACGTCTTTTGTACAATAAAATATAATACTAAACCCATTCTATATTCAAACTACATTCATACTATATATTTATTATATTTATTGACTTCTAACTTAAATGGTATCTAAAATTTCTAAACATACCATATAACCGAACTATTTACATGTAATATATGCACACTATCTAAATTATTACTTATCCAATACACTAATAATTACATCTAATACATAAACCATCACTAAATATATACTTAATAATATTTATATTACTAATTTACCTCTATTTCTTCTCTTGTTGCAAGCTCATCAAAACATTAACATGGTTCTTAAAATCCCAGATAATTACCTGAAGTGGACATTTTTTTCCCCACGAAGAATAGATGCAGGAAGGATACTAAACGCTGTAGTCAAAACGTACCAAACCACAAAGTCATTACCCCGTTCATTTGTCAACTCATTAACTACTCTTGTGCAAGTGAACATTGATCCATCCATTTCTACTGCTGTACGAATTACATGCTCCCTCCGTAAAAAAAAAATATTTCCTCCATCCCATAATATAAGACATAATCAAACTTAGCACTGTCTTCAAAACTAATTCTTGAATTTCTCATATGCTATAAGGTTTATTACAACAAAATTATAACCATAAATTTAAATGTGAATATTCCAATGATATTAATTTTAGCAAATAAATTTTAATTTATATTATAATAGTTGTTGGTCAAATATTTTTAAATTTAAATTTTAGAATATTCGCACATCTTATATTATGAGCTAGAGGAAGTAATATAAACAACGAATTTGAACAACCCTATAAGAGTTCAAATCCCATCCGATATTGCCTTTTTTTCTAAAAAACGGAGGGAGTATCAACATACATCTATTTTTTTTAAACTACGGCGGGTTTGAACACTAGCCTGAACTTTATTCATTTGGTTAAAAAAACACTTTACAAAGGGGAGGCACAGAGGGAGGGGGAAAGAAACTAAAAATTAATTACATAAAGATTTAGCGCACAAGAGTGAAGTTGTTGTTTGCCTCTAAAAAATAAAGTAACTAAAAACTCTAGCCAACTCCCCCGATTATTAGCTGAAAAACAATGGGGGTATTTGTAAATTTTGCCACTAATTATTTCATTTTGTATTTGGGCTACAGCCAGGACAGCCTCCTGAGCCGTCCGATCGCGATCCGGAATCGATCCAACGGCTTCGGGGGCCACCCCCACATGCGACAATCCGCATCTTCTCCTCATAAAGCGGTCAGACTCGTAATCCCGGAAAAGTTTTCACCTTTTCCCTCCCACCTCGCCTCGCCATGCTCACCTCGCCCTCGTCTCCGATCCACTCCTCCTCCTCCTCCACCCGCCGCGCCATGAGCCCGTAGCTTACGTGGCAGCAGCGAGAAACCATGGGCAGGTCAAGAGGCAAGGATGGCGGCGGGAGGTCGTTCCCGTCGCCGGCGTCGTCGTCGTCGGCGTCGTCGTCGGAGTTCGAGTTCACGGTCACGCTGTCGCCGGCGTCGAAGCAGAGGTCGGCGGCGCAGCTGTGCCCGGCGGACGAGCTGTTCTACAAGGGCCAGCTCCTGCCGCTGCAGCTGTCGCCGCGCATCTCCATGGTGCGCACGCTGCTGCTCTCGTCGGCGTCGACCTCCTCCGCGTCGGCCTCCGACTCCACCTCCAACTCGTCCTCCTCCCGCGACTCCAACGGCAGCACGTCGTCGTCCTTCTCCGCCGACTGCGCCGCGCTGCTGCTCCCGGACTCTGCCGCCTCCTCCTCCCGCCCCAGCTCCGCCACCGAGGACGACCGCCACCTCGCCCCGCCGCCGCCGCCGCCGGGTGTCGCTGCCTCGTTCGCCGCCAAGCGCACCGGCAAGCAGTACCTCTCGTCGTTCGCCACCCGCTTCTCCTCCGTCTTCCACCGCGGCGGCGCCCCCGCCCCCGCCGCCGCCGCCGCCAACGCCAAGAAGCCGCCGTCCAAGTCGCTCGCCAAGGAGGTGATCAAGAAGTACGCCAAGAAGGTGAAGCCGCTGTACGAGAAGCTCTCCCAGATCCCCAAGAATCAGAGCAACAGCAGCGGCCAGCCGCTGCAGCAGCAGCAGCAGCAGGGGTTGAAGAAGCCGTTCAGCTTCTCGATGCGCAAGAAGCGCGGCGACGACGACCACGCCGCAGCGGCCCCGGCCGCGGCGGCCGCCGTGGCCGCGGAGGTGGGCGGCGGCGGCAAGTACGCGCACTCCAACTCCTTCTCCGGGAACCTCCGGTTCCCGCGCCAGAAGCGGTGCGCGGCGAGCTGCCCGTCCTCGATGCGCTCCTCGCCGAGCCACTCCGGCCTGCTCACCTTCGGCGGCGCGGGCGGCGTCGGCTTCCCCGACGTGCCAGCCGCCGCCGCGGCGGCGATGTCCGGCGGCATTAGCGTGGGCCCCGTGTCGCTGTCCACGGCGTCGTCGATGGAGGAGCTCCAGAGCGCCATCGAGGGCGCCATCGCGCACTGCAAGAGCACAATGGGCGGCGCCGTGACCATGTGCTCGCGCAAGGCGGCGGCGGCCGCCGACGAGATCTGCGCGTTCTGAGCGCACGTAGGATTCGGGCGGGGACGAAGCTAAGTAAGGCGGTTTAATCGATAGCATTATGTGTTAATTTTATGTGTTTTGTTAATTAATTTTGTGTCCTCCTGGTAAGACTATTAAGTATGATTATGGTGGTAAATAAGGGTAGTTTCAAGGGGTAAAATGATATTTGGAGCCTTTGGAATTTTGATATCTCCCTTTATTCCAAAAATATGGAATTTGCGTCGGCGCCCTCCAAACATATCCTCTCATTGCATCAAGGACAAAAATTTAAGTTTATGAGGCTAGCAAACTCAACTAGTCATTAATTCATAAGGAGAAAATTCAGTTGGAGATATTTCCAAATGTCTTCTGTTTTGGAATTAGGAGGATTGATGTGTATGATATCTTTTGCTACATAAACAACAATTAGAACCTGCCTTTGAAAGATTATTATATGGCTGGGAAATGGATTTCCCAATTCGAGATTTGCCGATTAGAATCCATGAAAGTAGCTGGTCCATCTAGTGGAGTGTCCCTACAGACTTTTGGAGCACAAAGCTGCCAATTTTCTATGATGGAGTCTTCAAAAAAAAAACTTTCTATGATTGAGGGTGTTGATGCAGGTTTCATTTCCTGGAAAAGGGATTTGCAAAGTTCCTTAGGTTAATTAGATCAGGTTTTGGAATCTGATGTGGCAGTCTGAGCAAGTGCTGTCATTTTCTTTTTGTTGTGATTTTTGTCTCAACTATCAAGACAAGTGTTTATTAAGCTAATTCTAATATAATTTTGGCTTTTGTACTTTCACATCACATGGTAACTTGTATGATCATTGTTTCAAAATAATCCCCTCATCTGCCCCCCAATCTTTGGTGCTTCATTAAAGGAATTATGATTGTTAAGCACATATGTTCCTTTATTGTTCCCTTGATTTTGTATGACCTCTCCATTTCTGTCCAGTGTTCACCTTAATTGGGGATCATGTACCTTTTTGTCCCCAGTTAATTAGCCACTCATTTTACCTTAAATCCTACAAAATCTGCTGCTCATTGCTACAACTTAAAGTGCTCATTTCCTTGCAAGTTAATACTAATTCTACAATACCCGTTAGGTAGATTCCCCTGGAACTAGTTGGACACCACTGCGTGCCAACACCCACAAGAAGTTAGCAGTAGCAGTTGGAAGTTGGAAAACGATTCCCTTGCTAGATCTGGCTCACGCAAATGCTGTTTCTTTCACATGTCTTGCCCTTTGGAATGCAGTATACATTTGCTAATCAATGGAGTTAATTACAAGTCCTTGTACCACTAGACATGTTGACTTGACTGTTTAAACTGGGGTGGTGCCATATGAAGGGGTCATTAACTTCAGCAATCATTAATAAGTGCCATAATTTTTCTCACCTAAATTATGGCACTTATGATTGCATAAACTATATTGAATGCTAGTAAGAGGGGATGTGAGGACACACAAGGACATGGGCAAACTACTGTATGCATAGATCATGTTCAGAGCAAAAATATGTACATGTACTTGTGTCAGCTCCTCCTGTGATTAGATACGACTAAGCGTGATCATGCTTAGCTAGCTGCAGGTCATCATGGTTGTGGTTAAGACTGTTACGATGGAATTAACAAGGGTTTTAAGGATAAACAAATGAGGCTAGCCATGTTGCTGTGGCTGTGATCGTCTGATCGAGCAGCGAGCAGAGAGAGATTCCTGCATCTGCATAGGGGAGGAGACGCGGTTGCCGAGGGTTAGGTGCCACATGCGAGCTGGTGGCCGCGCCCAAGTAGCGTGAATAGTAAAAGGCCTAGAAATAGTTAATGCTCCTCTTTAGATGTGTGTTGTGTGTTGACGTCTTGATATTTATAAATGGGTGAGCAACCTGTCGAGTGTTGAGAGTGATCAGTCAACATTCAATGTTAGGAGTAGTGGTGGTAGATGCAATGCAAGCAAGCATCAAAGTTTCCCAGCACAAGCTTCCTCTGCAGTAGTAGGAGTACACTGCACTTCAATTTGCAAGTAATTACTCCAGTACTCCATATAGCACTACACCTATACTGTAAAAAAGAAAACAATTTCATTCATTTTCAGAAGTTTGTTTTTTCTTAGGAGGGAGCAGGCTATAATACTAATATCATTAACCTTTGTTGATGAGATGAGTAATGAGCTTAATTACTCTGTCCGTACTTCAATTTGCTATAATAACATGTAATCTTAGGGGCGGGGGTGATAAGATGGAAAAATTAACATTTAACCATAATCAAAACGAGGCTTCGTTAAAATACCACTCCACGCTTAGGATTCGTCAAATGCCATTTGCAATCGAGGGGTTCACCCAAATACCATTTTGGGTCAATTATCCCTTTCCTCCTGTCTTTTGCTGACCAAAACGCCTCTGGTTGAATCAATTCAAGTGGAGCAAGGAGGCGAGGAAGTAGCGGGCAAGCAGCAGGGCAGCAACGAAACGGCGCGAAGCAGACAGGGGCGGCACGAGCACGAACCCTAGCTCCCAGGCCGCTGCTGTCCTACTCGAGTAAGAAGATGGGGGGAATTTTGATGGTTTGATCTTCTTCGATTCAACTATGAGCATTTTGGACAACAGAAATGGGAGAAAAGAGAGAATTGAAAGAAAATGGTATTTGGACGAAAACCTCTAATTGAGAGTGGTATTCCGACGAATTCCAACCGCGAAATGGTCTTTTGGTGAAGCCTCATTTTAATGATGATGGAATGTTAATTTTCTCTCAGATCATGGCCTCGTGGGGTTTTTATTCAGAAATGGAAGTTTTTTATTCAGAAATGACCGATATTGACTTGATGAATCAGTACTAATCAGCAACTTTGTAGTTAGGGGGTGTTTAGGAGAGTTGGGCTAAACTTTAGCCCCTGCCTCTAGAGACTTATGTTTTTAGAGAGGGGCTAAAGTTTAGTCCCTGCCCTTAGAGACTTACGTTTTTAGAGAGAGGCTAAAGTTTAGCTCCACTTTAACCCCTCCAACCAAACATCACCTTAATCCTTCACGAACGGTTAGATCAGAAGTTGTCCTGACTCCTGACAAGAACATGTCCAATTTCTCCATTCATTCTCCTAACCTAATCCTAATCAGCAAAGCCCTGCAACTTGTGGCAATAGCTGTATCGCCATCAGTCTATCACACAGCCTGAATGCCTGTGACAGAACAGTGACATTGCGTGGCTGCGTCAGTGCCTCACAGGCCTAACTCCTAGTAACACTTTTATTTAATCTCCTACAGTGATCACCTCGGTCTAGCTAGTTAATTAGCCTGCGGTAATCAATGTCCCTGCAAGACAGAGTACCGCACTAGTGCACTGCGTTGCAATGCTCTGGCTCGAAAAAACCGTAGCTAAACGCCTCGTTTTTGCAGATAAACTGGTAGGGGGCCAAGCCGTGTGTGTTCTTTTGTACGCGGCGTCAAAACCAACAGATGCTGCCTCGATGAACAAAGGTTTTTTTTTCTTTTTTTTTCCTGGGCTCGGAGCACGATGGGTTTGACGGTGAGCTGGCCGGCCTCGCCGTCGTCGGGGGCACCAATTATTGGAACGCCCGTGTAGCCCAGCCGCTGCCGTTGAACACGGTTGCAGTTGTTGGTCCGATCGAGCTGAAGGGCCTCTTTACTTCGCGGAAAAAAAATTATATGTTATATCGGATATTTGATAGAATATTGGAAGTGGTTTTCGAACACGAATAGAAAAACTAATTTTCCTAACAACCGCAGGACGAATCTTTTGAGCTTAGTTAATCTATCATTAGGACTTGTAAGTTAATGTAGCACTTATGGCTAATTATGAATTAATTAGGCTTAAATGATTTGTCTCGCAATTTCTTTCTTATCTGTGCTACTAGTTTTTTAATATATATTTAATGCTCTATGTATGTGTTAAAGATTTGATGTGATATTTTTAGGAAAAACAATTTAGGAACTAAATTAGGCCTAAGCTAGCCGTGGTGGTTTTGGAAGTTGGAAAAAGGAAGACCTGTTGTGTACTTGCATTGTTCGCGTTTGTGTTGGCAAATGTGGTTTTCTGGAAGTTGGAAAAGGCAATATGGAAGCTACTGGCATATGAGGCCTTTTATCTTCTTTGAGCATACACCCTCTACTCTAGAATAAATTCATTTTTTACGTGAATTTGAACATAGCCAAATGAGTACGCGAATGAGCATGTGCCGATTTGCGGGACCAATACTGCAGCATTGCCGTGGAAAGAAGAGGGGCGCGTATGTTTGGAGTCTTTGAATTTGACGTAACTCCTGTGTAGAGTGGTCAGTAAGGTTCATTTGTTTTGTAAAGCCCCCAAGCGGTCAAGCCGTGATGGAATGTGGAGTAGTGGACCGGGTGAATCTCAACTTTGTGATCTTCTGCTGTACGAGTTCCACAATCCACTACTCCTTCCGTAAAAAAAATCAAAATTAGTAAGGATGTAACTATTCGTTCATATCCACTTAAAGTAAGTTTTCTTAGACAGAGAGAGTATTGCCTATAAACTCACACTTCTAGGGCTGCAGTATTAGGCCATGTTTGATTCAGCTTGGAATTATTATAATATGGATTATTAGGAGTAAACTGAAATAAACAGTTATTATGATAGATTATTACAATCTATAAGCCAGATTACTATAATTTGGTAAGTCACTTTAAAGGTGCTTTTTTAATTATTGAGTAGCTAATAGCTAACAAATAACTAATAATCCAGAGAAATAAACAGTAGCAGCTTATTCTATGTCGGCTTATTATAATCCAACTTATAGTAATCTAGTTCTATAGTCTATATTACAATAATCTTAAACTGAAACAAACAATACCTTAGTTTACATTGAATCAGTTCGAATCTTTTTTTTTTTGAGAATTAGTTCGAAGCACGTGCTTTTATTAAAATCTTAATCCAAACCGGGAAATTGGTAGAGTAGCGTCTCTTCTAAATACTATATTTGAGAGCAATTTCTTATTTGTCGTTCAAAGATTCATGCGATCTCCCTAATCTCACGTGTCAAAGTCACAAGGGTGACAACTAAGGGAGTGTTTGAGGAGAAGGGGATTGAGAAGATTGGGAAGATACGCAAAACGAGGTGAGCCATTAGCTCATGATTAATTGAGTATTAACTATTTTAAATTTTAAAAATGGATTAATATGATTTTTTAAAGCAACTTTCTTATAGAATTTTTTTTTACGAAAAACGCACCGTTTAGTAGTTTGAAAAGCGTGCGCGCGGAAAACGAGAGCCAATCTCCCCTATCACCCCTAAACGAACGATGCCTAATGAGCTAGGAGAGCGAGCAGCCAAAACCATGGCGGAGCTACCTTTTGCGCGGGCGCGCAGAGCAACGAGGAAGCCGCGCAGCAACACGTGCGCGGGCGCAGCTGAGTTCGGGCTGATATGAAGAAGCTACTCTTCTCTTTTCGTCCTAAAATAAATAAATTAAAAATATTTAAATTTATAATAATCAAATGTATCATATTTTTATAGATTATTTATTTTGAGATGTAAGAATTGTTTCTTCCATCTAGGATGGCAATTTTACCCATAGGTCCGGTATACGTGAATACCCGACCCGATGGGCATGGACGTGGGTGTGATTTTTTATCCATGGGCACGCCCGTCCGAGACCCGAAGACGTTATGGGCAATAGGCGGGTTTCATTTTTTACCCGTGGATAACCCATGCCCGACTCGATACATATGTATTAGCTAATTTTGACTCATTTATTAATTCTTATACCATTTCTCTCGGTTCATTTGCGATGCTAACTAATATTAAGTTGTGATGTAATTCAAATTATCATTGATAACCGATAATTTGGTAAATTATTGATTTTATTTCTCTTTGTTAAATTACATATCTTTCAAGTTATTCATGTGAGATCCATTGGATACCCGCCGGACATACCCGCGCCCGCTGGGCATGGGTACGGGCATGGAGTTTTGCCCGCTAACTCTAGTGGATAGGGTTTAGGCATGCAATGTCGGGTATCGGGTCGGGCATGGTTTTGCTCTACCTATGCCCGACCCGACTCATTGCCATCCCTACTTCCATCCATAAGGATATACGTACACAACAGAGCATATGCATATTGTCGACGTTTGATGTCTCGACTACGGTATTTGGACAGTATGGGGATCGTCGGTGCTAGGGTATACGCGAGACTGAGGTAAAAGAGATGGAGACAGAGATTTTTATACAGGTTCGGGCCCCTGAGCTATCAGGTAATAGCCCTACATCCTGTTGGCCGAAGCCGATGTTGCTTTTTATTCACCATAATCACACCAGTACAATATGTGGGATAGCCTATCTAACTTTTGTAGACATGGCGGTCTGAAGGTTTGACTCGTAGTCGACAACAGGGTAGCCTTCCTCCTCGAGCTCACGCCCGACGAAATCAGAGACCGTGCTAGATCCCTACGGCCGGCCTCTGAAGGTACCGGATATGGTCGATCCAGGCATATCTCTGATATCGATATCCGGCAGCTTGTCTTGGCGTATGTAGGCTTGTATGTTGTGGCTTCTGGTGGGTGTTGATTGTCTCTTCATGGTGAGTGTGTGTCCCCCTGTCCTTCTAGGGGGCTTGTATTTATAACCATAGGTGTACCCTTATCCAAGTAGAACTAGGGAAATCAATATGGATACAATCCGAGTAGTACTTGTCGTTTCTATGTAGAACTCTAGTTGTCTTTCCATATCCGGAACTCCCTCCTATATCCGTAGGTTATTTCCGTATAGGACATGGTATGTGATAGGTCCTACCGAGATTTAGTCAACTAATTATGTGGTATCCATAACCATGATACACATACAGCGGCAAGCTTACACATGCTCTCATCGATGATGTCCCTTCTGGTTCTGGGACTATCTGTGCATGTAAACCGCGCGTGGTCGACGGATCCACCGCAGCTGCCCGCCGTTCCTTCCATCCAAATTCCGAAACCCCCACGCGTCACGTACCACACATCTCAAAGCGGGTCCAATCCCAAACAACCAAGTAGTACAACGTACGATCGAGCTAGCATAGCCACCAAACCGAAAATCCGCCTAGGATCCCCCCACACGGCTAGGTTCGCCGCTCCTCGCTCGCACCACCGATCGATCCACGACGCCGCCCACACGCAGACGCAGGCGCCCCGCGGCGCGCGCTGCTCGGGCCACGTCGTCGCGGGCGCCGAGCACCACCAAGATGCTCGCGATCCAGCCGCATGTGATGCAGCCACCCACCCCAACCCAAGCAGCACATGCGACGCGACGCGAGCGAGCCGACGCGCAGGCGGCGTTCGCGCGGGGGGGAGGGGGAGGTCGGTCGCCGGGTCGACGGGGGGGCGCGGAGCGCGTGACCGTGTGACGGGAACAGCGGGAGCAGCGCGACCAGAGGTCACATGTGGGCGATCGGTTTTTGGCCTTTCCTGTCCAAGAAAGGTCAGCAGCTGCGGTACTAGCCTGGGGCGCCGGCTCGGATTTCCGATGGATCCAGCAGCGCGGCTCCGTGTCGTCGTCCTCCTCCTACTACTCCTGCTGCAGAGATGCTCGTGGCAACGTGTGGCGTTGCAGATCATCACAGTAGTCAGAAGGAGTAGTACACGCATCTCACACATGTCGTCGAGTCTGTGCCACCCCCCAATAATGCGCATGCGTATAGTACCTGTTGGGACTTGTGGAGTTGTGGTTCTCTGCGGCATTTGTGGCCTTGGTTCGTCTACCGGCCCGGTGCCAGATGACATGGACTGAGCTGGTGGTGACTAGTCGAGAGATGTTGCAGGTTGAAATGAACTCCTGCCAGAGTTCAGGATAATGACGATGATGGTTTCGGTCTCTGACTGAGCAGGGGAATCTAGATTCATGCAACCTCCTTTGACAACAATGGGGGTAGGATTGCGCATGTTTGATGTCACCGTCGCAGAATTCACGGACAAGAGATGCTTTACACCTTTTCCTGAGAGCTTTGACGATAAGACAAACAGGCCTAAAAGGGTGTAGGATAAGATGATGTGAATTTCTGTGCCACCGTCGCATTCGTGGGAAAGTAAGAGTAAATCATGAGAGCCACGGGTGAGTGGCATTTCTTTCTTGCTTTGTTTCTAAAAGAGACCGACTAACCTAAGACTCTGTTGGCTAGCATTTGACATCATGTATGTTATGGTTGATCCCAAAGACATGATAGCCTTCTGGTGCACCTTTCTTTCAGTGGATAATTATTGCATTTGCACTATTTTTGGTCTCCCAATCATTGAGTAAATGTATAATTGTGGTGTTTAGAGAAATCAACACCTACTGAAAGGAGATCACTGGTCTATGGGTACCCATGTTACTAGCACAGATCTTCAAAACAGAAACTGTCAACTAAAGTATATGGCTGGAGGCCCAGATCAGTAGGAAAAATCTCACATGTACCATAACACCATCATCCGCACAGTCCGATTCAAACTAGCCACAATTTCTATTTCGCAAGAGTACGTATCCTAATGTAGGTTCGCAGCTACAGCAATGTCCGCAACGGTTTACAAAAGGTATAAGCTGGTTACGAGCCAGTTGCACCGCTGGCAGCACCATCAGATTTACTCTTCTCTGCGTTAGCAGCATCATCAGCATTTTCTTTACTCCTCCTCTGAGTTAGCAGCATCATCAGCATTTTCTTTACTCCCCTCCTTTGTGCTACCAGCATCAGCGACATTTTCGTTACCCTTCTTTGCGTTAGCAGCATCAGCGGCATTTTTGTCACCGTTCTCCTTTGAGATAGGAGCATCAGCGGCATTTTCTTTACCCTTCTCCTTTGGTCGAGCTACAGGAAAATCCTCCTCTTGTTGCCGTTGCCATCGGAAATTTGCGGCCTCAATCCAGCGGGGGTGGACCAAAAACTTCTTGTTACTAACAGCCCAGCGAGCCTTCTCCGTTCCTAGATCCAAAGCAACAACATGGGTGACCGTAGAATCCACATCTGTGCAGCAAACGGCACCCAACTGCTCGGCCATCTTCCAGATCATCTGATCTTGTTGGCGCTGATGTAACGGGAATACACGCGTAAACACTAGTTTGCAGCCTTGAAGTACTTCCTGCCGTACCCTCTTGATCACCTAGAGAGGGATATATACGTACACCAACCAGATATTAGCCAACGATTTTTTTTTAATAAAAAAACAGCACTAAAGGGGATATATTTAGCACTCTGTAGTTCATAACCATTTGAAATATTGATCTACACCAAAACTGAATTTTGTCTATGTTAAGTTCTTTTCATATTGATTGTACCCCTAGATCTTATCAATCAAAAATAGCTTTACAGGTAGGAATGAATAACGCTGTCCAAGCAATGGTAACATCAACTTATACAGTGTGAAAAAAATCTGTTGTAATGAATACCACTGTACAACTAAAAGATATAATGTATAATAAAGAGCCTGCAGGGTAATTGCAAGTCTTGTAGTCTACCTGTCTTACATCCCGTGAAGAAAGAGGTTTTTGATCATCCTACAAGTGAGATGTACAGTAGTACTTGATTAGATGAGAAAAAAGAACTTTGACCTTATATATTACTCAGGTTTATGCACAATAGATAATAGAAAGTTGAGATTAATAGACGATAAAACTGTGATAAGACCATGAACTTAATTAGCCTACCGGATCAAAGAAAATTGTGTGTATGCGCTCCAAGACATCTAAAATTGTAGCTAAAGCACCATCATTCTCCCTTTCGTCCTGCATTGTCTCTGACAAAGATCTGGCACCAAAACCAAATTGGCGACAACTAGAAGCAAAATAATGATATCTCTCCATTAGAATCAGATTTTCTTTATGTTTCTGCCACACCTGAAAAGAAAAAAACCATTTAGGCCGGATACACGATGTGCATCAATGTAAATGATGAATTAATTCAGCCCTTCAACATTTAAACAATACAGGATGAATGTTTCTACTGCTGTGTAGAAGCAAACATAGAACAGTCAGAGACCAAAACAAACTTTCAGTGGCCAAAGTAAACATTAACTAGTTCTAACAAACTACAGACGGTAATTACTGGCAGTATTATCATATAAAATGTTTATCAACCATGTTCACTGGATTATTTGCACTTACATACTCAGTGTCATCAAGAATCACTGCAACACTTTCATCTCCAAGAACCACATCAAGACCTTTCTGGTGTCGCTGAGTGCAATCAGAGTTCGAAATCACCTTTGAGCCAAAATATACATTATCAGGGTCAAGAAGTTTTGCTATTTCAATTGCATAAGCCTTGTCACCCATAGTGTATATATACATCTCAAACATATCACTTGCTTCTTTTAAAAATCTACGGACAAATGGTCTCAACTTTGTAAGCATCTGCATTGTCTCCAATGTGAACAAGCTTCTGTCCGGAACAACTGCATTTAAGCATGTTTCTGGTTAAGTAAAATTGTAGATGACTAATTCATGGTTAGGCAACAGATTTAGGAAGGATCAAACCACAATAAGGTAATATGGAAGAATGCAACCTCACCATTAATTAGAATTTAGTGCTAAGTAATAATGCCATAACTTCTATCATAATAGAAGCAACTAGAATTGATGTTAGTTTTACTTTTCAGTGTCTGCAAGAAGCAACCTTCACCACAAATTCTAAATGTCATAAAAATCACATTTACAGTGAAAGAATATGACAAATAGCTATGACATTTCCGCAGAATTTTCATATTTCAATGTACATTACAGGCCAACTTTTCCCTTTTTTTTAAAATGGACTCCAAACATACAAAAGGAACATCTAGTTTTGGACTGAAGGTAGTATCTCTGTGCTCATGTTTACAAAATATCAAAGTTTGTAAATCAATAGCTAAAAACTTACAAATTCTCCAATTTAAATACAAAGACGTACACATTACCTTCTTTAGCAGCAGATTGAATTCCCAATTCGTTTTCAGCAGCAGAAAGATCAAAGAGTTTGGTTGAGTTGATCAGTGTATGATCCAAGTCCAAAATGAGTACTAGTTTTCTTTCTCGCAATAAATTCTTTAAATCAGCTCCACGCAGTCTGTCAATTTCTGTTGTACCTAGCCTCAAACCCTGCGTTGAAATAATTCTGTTAAATTCAGATAGGACAATTGGAAATAAAAATGTAACTGGGAAAGATAAGAATATATCAAGAGATGCAATGCTTGCATAATACTACGTACTGGAAAGAGTGTGATTTTGGGAAAGGTAAATGCAATAAATAAGCATTACAACACTTGTATTATAGTAAGGACTGATTTAAGTCAAAGGAGCCTTAAAAATTCAAAGATATTTTCCGCTTCCTGTTTGACCGTACCTTATGGATGTAACCAAAAGCAACTCCTGGAACATCTTCCTCATCTTGTCTTTTCCCACATCTATAGCAAAGTCCACCAAAAAACCCAGGATGTGGTGGGCATTCATCAATTTTAACATCTTTAGAAGAACCTGCAACAGTGTACCATCTGCTCATGGAAATAAAGGAAGTCTTGACAGAAGGCAACTGGGACTCCATCTAAAAGTAGAACTGTAGAAGAAACTGAAGCCAAATGTGAAAAACTGATGTTCCTCTCTAAAGTCCAGACACAGCATGGAACCTCAACAATTAAATGATTAAAAGCAATAACATACACCCCCCCCCCCAAAAAAAAAAAAAAAAAAAAACTCCTACGACACACACACAAGAATGGGGACAGTAAATCTGTAACCACATCAACTAAATAGTATATAAAAAGTAAATAAATTTTTGAACGCATTTAGTAGATAATCAACTAATCAAGTGCCCCCCCTCCCCCTCCTCTATGAAGCCAAATGTTAGTGGGTTGGAAGTGAAACAAATTAGCATACCAACGGTATCCTCATCTGACTTCATTACTACTGCTTGATGACGGTGTTGGTCCTCCACTCTACGCCGTTTGGTACTGCATATTGCATGCCGTTGACAGCAGTCAGATCCAAAATACAAAATCCAGAAAACAGCTCACTATTAGTATTTTCTAAACAAAAGGACATGGATTGCATGTTCAGCCAAGCTTTAGCATATCCAATAAATGAAAGGAAAATTTTCTATCATACCATCAAATAACCATTTAGTTCTATACTATCGGAATTAAATTTTTACAGTATGTATTAATGACACTCAAATAGCACCCCATTTCATTTAAACACAACCATCAAAAGTGCTCTTTTCTGTCATGTTGACCATTTTGCCCTCATCCGCAAAAAGAAAATTTCCCTGCATTCCCACAGCTGGTTCTTCCCTCCCCAACTCATTTCAGTGCCAAGTCACTTCAAACTCACCAATGCACCCCCAAGACTGTCAATGTTTACCCAACGAATGTCAAAGGCACGGACCGCACAGAAGATAAGAAGCCATCTCCAACCCCTAATGGGTGATAGGGAACCAAGAGCAGCATTGAAATGGCAACTTAGGCATATTATGATTATATTGTAGTGTACCACAAAATTCCAGTGGTATAAAACAAGATCAGTGATATTTTGGTGGTATACAACCAATTTTTCCTTAAAACTATAGCGCATTTAGTTCACCAACATATAGGATTCTTACTACAGCGTAAGCATATTTGGATGGCCAGCTTATTATAGGATCAACATATGCTAATACGTATTGCCTGCCTTCAGCATATAAAGCCATAGGTAGGCAATTAAGCTACCACAAATGAGAAAATTTTCATACCATACCAGAACTAAGGAAGTTGTGGTATCTATTCAAATCGTAGAAAGCAATCTCATGGGATCTACTATTTGGATGGACTGTCATTCACAATTTCACAATTGCAGATAAGCAAATCACTTGTAGGTATAATGAAATGAAGTGCAGGCTACATGAACAGTACGGACTTCAATAAACCCTAGAAAAAATCCCCCGCGATGATGATCAAATTCGTTGCCATCAGCATTCGCACAACTGAATCCAGCAACCATCGCAATTCAAGCGGAACAGGAGCGAAGACCCTCGAGCACCCATCTAACCGGCCCAATCAAACAGTAAAACCCTAACAGGTTCGAATGGGGACCAAATCTGCTCGCCGTCACCGACCGTCCAACACCGAAAGCGCGAGGAGCACAGAGCCCCCGAGCGCCTCAAGCCGCCGCCATACCCAACTCGACCGGCTCCTCGCCCCTCGGGACGAGGTGAGAGTACGGAGAGGCGCGTACCTGCTCTGCTCTACGATGGCGTCCTCTTGTTCCACGACCACCACCACATCCTCCTCCTCCTCGTCACCACCTTCGTCGTCGTCGTCGGTGGCGGCGGAGGGGTCTCCGGCGGAGGCCGAGTCGGCGGCGGAGGTCAGCTCGAGCTCCGCGTCGAGGAGCGCCGCGAAGTCGTCGCTGCCGCTCGACGACGACGGGGAGGACGGCGACGGCGACTCGGCGGCGAGGCTCATGACCGAGGGCAAAGGGGCGAGCTTTGGTCGGTTGGGGTGGGTGGATGCGCAAGTGTTGTGTAATAAATCATAGGGGGAAGAAAAGCTGGCCCGCCAGAAGAAGGCCTCCGTTTGGGCCTCGTTTGGGCCATCATCTCAGGTGAAACGGCCCATGATGCCGCGAGATCTCCCGGCGGCGGGATAAGTTCAATTTGTCTCTCTTAACCAGTGGCCGAATCTTATTTGTATCCTTAAATCACAATACCAAATATGTAGACCCTGAACTATTAAAACCGGTGCAATTTGACTCTCTCGACGGTTTTGGAGGGTGGTTTCGTTGACTACGTGGCGGTGTTACCTTTTCTACGTTCTACGTGACGTTGACCGGATGAGGCAACGCGCGGGGCGCCGACTCCAACGCGAGGCTTCGGCTTGTGACTTCGCGGCTCCCGAGCCCAGACGCGACGCTTGCACCGGTTCCTCTGCAAGCTCACTGACAGCCTGCGAGACCACCCAAACTCGTGCCAGCTCGGCTCGGTTCCGATGTGGAGTTTTGAGACCACAGTCCAGGGTCACGCGTTTTACATGACCTAAGTTCGAAAGCTTGCTGGTTCCCACGCGATTGACGATGGATTAATTAAAAACTTACTCAAACACGGATGACGTATCAAAATCTTAGCAAAAACATCTTAAATTTTTATAATAGTAGAGATTTACTAATAAAAATAGGAAACATATCCTATGCACACAAGATTTCCGTGCACACCAACTGGCAAATATCACGAAAAATTCTAAAAAAAATTTGGACATTTACTCATAATAGTACTACACATATCTGCAAAATCTCATATTTAAATTCATTATATTTTAGCCGTAGCAAAAAAGTGAAAAATCTGACAGATTTAAGGATAAAAATTTGTCAGAATTTTATCTTTTTTTGTTACGGTTAAAATATAATGAATTTGAAGATAAGATTTCACATGTAGGTGTAAAACTATTGGAAGTATGTGTCCAATTTTCTAGAATTTTCTGTGATATTTACTAGTTGGTGTACACGAAGTGTCCACGGGAAGCTTGTATGCATAGGATATGTTCCCAATAAAATATTTTTACAAAAATTTGGTTTTAAAGTTTTTATCCTTGCTAAAATTACACCCCTAACGTTATATGGGAGGCTTTTTATGCCGTGGCACATATCCTTTGGTATGCTGTAATAATTGAGCGATTGATAGGTGGTCCCCTTGCAGCTCTTAGGAGGGTGGCAAACGAGTTGCCTGTAAAATAGCGACATACGATATTTTGCAAGGTCCTGGCTATAAATGGCCAACCCTGGTCATTTTATAGGTGGTCTCTGTAACCCTTTGGGAGAGCGGCAAGGAGTTGCTTGCAAAATGACCGGTTATCCTTCATCACTCGATGTGACCGTTACAATGTGTCAATGGACGTGTGCCACGTCATAAAAAATGCATTTTGGAAGGGAGAGGAGTTAGGGATATAGAATTGTAAAACTTGAAAACCAGTTTGTTTTAAAATATTTTAATAAGAGTAAATTGCATTGGAGATACATAAACTTGTTAGATGGGTACAATTTAATGCATAAACTTGTGAAATGCTCGTTTCAGTACACAAACTTGTCTAGTTAGTGCGAACGAGGACCAAAATAACTTGGCAATATTAATTTTACAAAGCTGATGTTGATTAAGAATTGTGACGTGCATACGTGTAGTGAGTATGCATAAAAAAAGCAATATTTATAAATTTGGTCTCTACTTTATCCTTCATCATCGAAATGATGAATTCCATATATCCTGATTGGATTTTTTTATCACTGTTGGATTTTTTTAATCTTTTTCTACTATTACTATATCCTATTCTTTTTTTTATTGAAGATGTGTATGTCTAGTAGCAACCTTCTCTGATATATGTCTACATAGCATCCTAATCAACTTCTAAATCAATAAGATTAGCCATGCAGTGTCCTTTTCGTCTTCCCCCGCATGCACCAGACAAGTTCATGCACCAAAATAAACATTTTACAAGTTTGTGCACTAAATTGCACCCACCTGACAAGTTCGTGTACCAGCAATGCAATTTACTCTTTTAATAAGTAAAATTAAAAATTAAAAAGGGAAATCCGAGATCTCCCGACGGCGGCGCGTGTTTCGCCTGCGCCGATGGCGGCAGTTGGCGCGGACGCCCGACACGAGATCGCCGACGCGATCGCGCATTCGCGCCGCGCCCACCAGCAGAGCAGAAGTGCAGGGGAGACCGAGTGGAGGAGCCGGTTGGGCATGGAGACCAGGGAGGAATCCCACGATGCCAGCGTCAGACGAGAGCTTTGTCAACGACAACGACAAACGCCGACGCGACGCGCGATATCCCCCCAGCCTTAACTTAAGATCGACGTCACGTCGTCGTCGCCGTGGAGAAAACAATCCCCAGAGTTGGAAGGCGTGGAGTTGACCTGACGCGGGAGGTTGTGAGAAACTGAGAACCAACCAACCAACCGCTGAGCTGCACGCGTGGTTGCCGGAGATTTTGCTGCTCGATTCCTGCACTACCGCTGCTGCTTCCTTTTCGCGTGCGTCGGCAGCTAGCGCGCGCAGCAGCGAGCTTGTGCTGAATACGGCAGTATTGCTCGCTGTCGCGTGGCGCGCGCACTCGCGTAGTACACCGTCGCGAGCACGCACGCACGCGCATTGCCTCGATCGATCGAGCCCTCTCGACGGGAGTTTTCTTTTTGTCGCCGGTGTGTCTCTCCTTTTGTTTACTCCCTCGTGGGCTCCTGTCAATCGTCATGTGCAAAGCCGGTCAGATAGATAGATAGATATTCAGATGTTTCGTCTTTTCTCAGGCCGGGAGAGGAAGACAGGAAGAGACGTCGAATTGCACGTGTTGTGTGCAGCCATGCAGGTGTCAATACATGTGTGATGTGTCTACTACCAATCGCATGACCTGGTCGCTCCTTTCCTCGTTTGTTCAAGTTTAACCAGTAACCACACCGACACCACGCGAGGTCCAATTAAGTTCAATTTCGCTTTGGTTTTATATCATTGATATGTATGCATGGCTGATTGTTTCGCTTTGGTTTTATTGAGTTTATGATTAAACAAATTACCAACTTCAAGCAGTACCAGAGCTAGAGGCACTATCGACCCTAGGCGACTAATATCGCTCCTAGGTGGCTAGGTGTCCGATCACTTCTTGTTGATATCGATGGCACCCTGCACCCGATAGAGCAATCTGCAGTGGAGATGTAATGCGCAAATTAAGCTAGCTTGGGTGGCCGTCCAACTATGGCCTAGCTACGATACTTCAAGATTTATCAGATTTTGAGGGGAAAACATTAAAATTGTGGTGGTTAAGTATCATAGTATATCTATTAAGTTTACTTATTAGGGTTTAAAATTCTCGTGCGAGTAGCCTTTGGATAGATATCATGTGAGGTCCATAAAAAAAATTATTAAGCGCTATCTAATGTGAAAATGCAAGTGTCGGACGTCCAATGGACCCGAGAAAAATCGGGCGCCGCACCGCCCGCCGCCCACGCGCGTGCTCCAGGCGTCCCCACCACGCTCCACGTGTCCCCCACCACACGCGTCCCCGTTACAACAGTCGTCCGGATATAACAGAAACACCCTATTAAGGGAATCCGTTTTATTTTTTTCCACCAACAATATTTCAGCAAGTGAACTCGTGATGTTTCATTATGCATGAATAAAATGTTGCAGTGGGTTTTTTATACTGTTTAATATTTTCCATCTTGATGGACACGTGGGTTGTTGATATACACGGGGTTTAAGTGTTGAATGGCTTCGAATCATTCGTTGCATACGTTGAACAAAATTGTTTCATCTAGCGATCTGACCGTGTTTCACTTTTTTAAAGAATTGAAACATTCTTTCGCTATTTGCTGAAACTTTATTTTTATATAGGGTAAAAGAGCGTCTGATTTTTTGGAACCCGTTGTTTCATATGTTGTAGCAAAATGTTTCATGAGGTAATTTAGTTGTGTTTCAACTTTTTAAAAGACTGAAACATTTTCGATCTATTTAGTGAAACATATTCTGTCAGGGTTACGGATAAGGTATACCCTCTATCCTTGGATATACGTTGTATGCTGACACAGTATACCTGTGCGTATACGGATATTTCCTGTATATATTAAGAAAATCTATCACGAGATAGAAACGGAGTCCACAGATGGAGGGAGTTCTACTCGGACAAGACTGGGTCGTTACCATATCGTGAGGGGTCCGATATCTCCGAGTCCCACTTGGAGATCAACTGATCCGCGGTATAAAAGGGACCCCCCGGGCAGGACCTAAGACATCGAATCTCACTGCCAACACATACACCACAGCCTACGAAGCCGGAGCCTACAGGAGCCAAGTCGCCGGGTGATCTAGTCGAACCAACTTGACTACGATCTCGTCGGTATCATTGAGTTCCATTATTCCCTTTGTAATATGTGACTTCCATCATATAATCCCATACCAACTGGATTAGGGCTATTACCTATCAAGGGGCCTAAACCAGTATAATCCTTGTCTTCTATTTGCTTGATGTCGTATTACGTAGATCCTCGTACCAGCGTACCCCAATACCCTCTATATCCGGTCTACGGGTATCCCCCGTCGACATATTCGATCTTTCAAAAATCGGGCGCTCGATTTATAGGCGCCTCCTATCTATTGAGCATATAAAAAAGGGTGTATTTGTACTTTGGGTTTGTTGGAACCATGCCACCCTATATTTGCAAAATTTGAGATATGCCACCCGTATCTCAATGACATATAGGACCCACATGAATCGATGACATGTGGGTCAGGGTGGCATATCACAAATTTTGCAAAATTTGTGTGGCATGGTTCAAATTGTCCCTTGTACTTGTGTGACGGTGGTGTGCCTCCTTCCTGCTACAAGGAAAAAAAGATTAGATTTTGAGATGAGCCAAGTTCTTTAGGACAGATCAGTATCTAGCTTGTGTGAAATGTCGGCATGGTCCCTTTCCTCATTTTTCATGTTTAACCACAGTAATATCCACACCACCCCTAAGGTCTAAGGATTTTG